TAGTGTAATTAAAAGTAAGCATTCCTCAAGTGATCGACAACCCTGACTCAAAAAGTTCACTTTATTACTTGAACGCGATTCGTGCACTTGCGGTATATTATTTTAGCGAACAAATCTCCTACAAGATTCGATAATGCAGATTGAGGAAGAATAGAATGGTTTTTTAGGACCATCAAGAACCTCTCGGACCAGTTCCAACCTTTAATACACAACTTGACGAATTCATGATAACAGATTTGCTTTGGTTGGACCTTTTTTATCCATAGAAGGAGATGGGCATCTTTTTTTCTAATACTGTACCATTAACTCCACCGAACAGTCCAGAAAAATGCTGTGCTCAGCGTGCACGTTATAGTAAATTGTTGTTAATATAGTACAGATCCTTACATGTGTGGGTGCATATATCCCACATACCGTGCTCATTGTGCACCTAGGAAAAGATTGCGACTCTTGTTTCTTTTTTCTTTTTCTTTTTTTTTTTTCCCCCTGCAATACAGGTTTTGTTGTCTGATTGCTGCAATTTTTTCCTGGTAAGAGAAACAGCCACCAAACAAAGTACAAGGTTTTCTGGAAATACCAACATATAGAAAGTAGAATGTGTACTCATACTTCAGCAAGGAAAAGTGCCGATCCTCTCCATGGACCGAACCCATCGTCTCCATGCTGTAAGAACTATGAGATAACCTTAAAGGCAAATTAAAAGAAGGGAAGAGAAGGACAGAAACAAATTAAAAGGAAGAGGTCCGGCTTTACTCTATCCATCTAACTATAAGGATAGTATGAGCCTATTGATTGAAATAGGTAGTCTTGGAAGCTCATATGGTTCGCAGGGAAACTCAACCTTCTCTGATTTATTTGGCACGTGAATTACTGTAATTTGTAGATCATTTTTTTTGGTGTTCTTTACAATATGAAAGCGGAGAACTTTTGAACTTGCCAGATAATATCACCAGAATATTGTCGTCAAAATTGGAAACATTATGTTCAATTTCTTGGAGCCTTAGTTTTACAGAGATTGGAACTCTCATTCTAAAGGTACTGAATTATCCACAGAAGGAAGAGAACAAATCACATAGTTCTCGTCAACTCGACCAGAACGAGTTGAAGGCCGAGTTTAGAATCATGTTAGGGTCAACTAAATGAGATGCAGAAAGTGGTCGAGTACATGATTGAGTGCATGTACTGAGTAAACATACAAAATGAAGTGGAAGGGACAGCAAAACCATGACTTATGTCTCAAGCTTGAATGTTCTTTCATATGCGAAATGCAAGAAAATTGATTAATGTCCCACTCCACTTTTAAACCAACTTTCTCTTTTCCATCCTATCCACTAACATTTTTTCCAATGTATGCTTTTTTGATCTCATGGGATTCTCTAAGTCAATCATCTAAAGGCCAATAATAAGGTTTGGCACTATCCAAAAACTTGCATAATTTTTTGGCACCATCCAAAAACTTGCATAATTTTTCTTTAATACAACATTTTTTAGTGGTCAAATTATAAAAAAAATGAAAGAAAGAAAGTGGAGAATCACGAATCGATTGCTCAACATGCGCGTAAATGAGAGTCGTATTTATGAAGCTTCAACCACTCGATCATGAACTTCTAATTTTCCTTTTAAGTGCCTTCTTTATAGGCCAAATAACCGATGTAATTTTATTATTTAAGGGTTATTTTAAAGAGTTCTGTGTATCCTTCTTTTAAAAAAATTCCTTAAAAGAACTTTAGGACAAAGAAGTGTGAGCTTTATACAAGTTTATTAGAACATTTCTTTTCTTGTGAGCTAGTAATGGGCACTGAAGATGTTGCATCAGTCCCTACAACCCCTGTAGCATCCGGGACTCCAGGCTGCACTCCTCTTTTCAGCGGCCAGTTCAAGCCGGAAAGAGGTGGCGATGGCTGGAAATCCCTTTTTAAGAGCTGCAAGTGCTTTAGTGTTGAAGCACTTTCTCTGGAAGAAGGGACCTTACCTTCTGTCTCTTGTGCATTGATTCCACCTCCAATCTCCCTTGCAAGAAAGGTAAGCTAGTTTTTCCCTCAACCTAGTCAATTTTGTTAAGCATAAGTTCTTGGTTCAAGTCTTGCCGCCATCCATGTATAAAGCGTTTATATCTTGAACAACATCTAAACCAGGTGGGAGCTGAGTTTATAGGTACCTTCATACTCATTTTCACAGGGACAGCCACAGCCATTGTGAACCAAAAGACACAAGGCTCAGAGACCCTTCTCAGCTTGGCAGCCTCCACTGGTCTGGCAGTCATGATAGTTATACTCTCCACCGGTCACATCTCTGGGGCACATATCAATCCATCTGTCACCATTGCCTTTGCTGCTCTGAAGCATTTCCCATGGAAACATGTAAAATGACACTTAAACAATTCTACAACTAGTAGTGAATAGCAAAACAAATTTTTCTTTTCTTGCTCAATACTGTCCAGTCTATCCCGTCATCTTTTCTTGATTTTGGCAGGTTCCCATATATATTGGAGCACAAATATTGGCATCAACGTGTGCTGCATTCTTACTGAAGGCTATTTTTCACCCTGTAATGGGTGGTGGAGTAACTGTTCCTTCAGGGGGATTTGCTCAAGCTTTTGCTTTGGAGTTCATTATCAGCTTCAACCTTATGTTTGTAGTTACTGCAGTGACCACAGATACAAGAGCTGTAAGCATTTGCTTTACAGCTTTCTTTCATCAGATAATTCTACGCGTTGACTAGAAATTACAATTGGCAAATTTTCTTGAACGTCGTTTCTTTTATATTGTCCAATCTTACATATAAAACGCCCTATTTCATACACCCTTTTATCCATTTGTTGCAAGATACATGCTTCCATGAGAATAATAGAGACCTCTGGCAGATAAAGTTCGATAACTAACACAAAACCTCACAATAAGTCGAGTGGCTAGCCTTTTTTTAAACCATTATTTTTTGTCCATTGCAGCAAGCAAGAAACTAGAGTTTATGGTAGAAATTGGCAACTAGAAGTCCATATTTCAACGAACATTAATTGCAAAGACATATTATCAATATTGCAGGCAGTAGTAAACTGACTAGTTGTGGCAATAATCAACAACAATTAAAAATATTGAACAACTTTTTGAAAGTATATATGGAATCTTCAGCATGTTCGTCTAAGCTTAAAACGTCTACTTATAAGTAAATAAGTAAATCTTAAAATAAATATATATTTTTTGAGCACTGAACAGGTAGGGGAGCTTGCAGGAGTGGGGGTTGGAGCTACTGTAATGCTCAACATACTAATAGCTGGGTGATGCTCTAAGCTTCCTTTCATTTCAGCACATTTCCTCCTTCAAAATTGCTATATTTGTTTGTAAAAACAAAATTATGCTATGAAACAAGTTCGATAGAAACATAATCCTTGTCGATTCATCCAGGGAAACAACTGGAGCATCAATGAATCCTGTGAGAACTCTGGGGCCAGCAATAGCTGCAAACAACTATAAAGCCATATGGATTTACCTCACTGCGCCTATCCTTGGTGCTCTGGCCGGGGCAGCTGCTTATTCTGCGGTTAAACTGCCAGACCGAGATGTCAATGGACAGGAGAAGCAGCCTAATGCAGAACATAGCTTCAGGAGATGATGAAGCGTCTACAGCAAAAAAATCCTTTCTCCTCTAACGAAAGCAAATAGATAAACATAGTAGAATAAATAAACATTCCAAGAGAAAGATGGGAGCAAGGAGGATTAAATGGTTGTGGAATATTTTGTTAAGTTTGGAAAGATATTTGACAATTCGAGACTGAATAAATATATTTGCATATGGTATGTTTGTGATATTTGAAAAATGCAACATGTACGTAATGGTATACATAATGATGACATGGACAAATAGAAGAGAAACTGGTTGTTTTTCTTTCTCTCTCTCTCTTCCATGTCGTTATAATGTACAAATATTATTATCCATCGTATTATATATTACAATTCAATACTATGGGGCTGATTGGTTATGATTTTGGCCAGATTAAAATTGCTAAATGGACCGTTACAAGGCCCCACATCAGAGATGGCCAATCAACTAGTGCAGCTGAATTCTTTGGCAACAGTTACATATTTGCTCAAAATCAAGAAAGTAATCGTGCCCAGACAAGCGATATGAGCGCAATGTGCTTTTAATAGTGATTATTGGCTAAGCACCTATTATTACATAGAACTATAGTTATTTTCTCGAGCTTTGGGCTATTGTACATAGTACAAGTTAGCTCATAATAAAATAGACTCGTGTGGAAGGGCGTTTTATAAATTTCAGAGCACAACTATGTACAAATTCATCATTTTACTCCGATTTTCGAAAAGATGAAAGTGGTGACGTGATTTACAATTAAATGAAAGATTGTGATGGCTAGTGGTAAAAAAAAGTTTTGAGGCTAGAGAACATTTTTAAAAGGTTGAGGACAAAAAGTGCAAAACACCGTATTTTTTTTTCCTTCCCTACGTGTCCGGCCCAAACAAAAATTGGGCTGGCTTGAATGATCCGGAGCTTCCTTGCGGCTAGGGTTTAAGTGTATATTTAAGTCCCCAACTGGTTTCGTTTTCCAAATCTACATTCGCTCCTGCTCTCCAAACCATCTTTTTCGCAGGTAATAGTTCTCTTTTATACTCATTGAAAATGTTTGAACTATCAGTCTTTTAATACAGATTTTGAAGGAAATATCAAATATATTTTGATTTGCATTGGAATTATCTCATGTTTTTATCAGATTAATCGTGTCCTGTATTTTTACGGCACGATTAATTTTTATATACTTAGATATTCGTTTCATTTAGATACAGTAATCATAATTTTGATTATGACGTTCCAGAATGAATGGTTGGAGTCATACTCGAGCTACAGACATGAATGGTTGGAGTCATACACGTATATCGTGGAGTCAGCAAAAACAATTTCCACAACAATGGTATGATGATTCACAATCGCTGGAACATTTATATGTGTACAAGACTCCCATACCTTTCCCCCAGTTCGGCAACATCCCTACGACTCATTCGACCATATATTCAGGTAGCACGTACCCATTACCCATAAGTTGCAGCGACTGATGCTCAATAGTAACAGCACCAAAAAACTCGGTGCTCAGTATGAGTCGGTCGGGAATGTCGAATGATCGCGGATATCGTTGAGCTCGATCTCGCAATAACTCCATGATCGGGTTGATGTGCTACATCAGCAAACACTAATAAAAAATATAGGGAGTTATTTAATTTCATCAACAAAAAAATTATGTATACATAATAAACAACAATATGACTATTACATTTATATCGTGGCGAGCCACGTCCCCGAAGTGGTGATGTTGTGAAATCACTTATAGGCATCCGAGATCGTCTTCTCCCCAACGATGCGGCTATCTCGAAAAAAAGAAACAAAAAAATGTTAAAAAAGATATAGATGAGTTAGCATAGCGCACTTCATTAAAATTCTAAAATACTTATCTCTGTTTAATTCTCCTCCACTCCGTCTCGAACGTTTTCCATTTAGTTGCGTCCACCTCGTGGAATAGATTGGGGTACGTCCTGTCGATGAACGTCCTCCTCTTCGTCTCAACTGTGAAGGGAGAAACGACGTACTGCGAAGGCAACCTAACCCTCTTGCCGACCACCTACCCTCTTACCAGCCATGCCGGTGTACACTCGTCTTCCACCTTGGGGACCACCGTCTCCTCGGGATTTCCCACCACAGCCACCATCGAGGTCACCCTCTCGTGGCTCCATACCTCCTTCAGGCTACTGGCTCCGTCCTACCTTCCTTCGGGCTCCCCATCACCACCACCATTAGGGTCACCCCTTCATGGCTCCCCACCTCCTCTAGGTCCTACCCTCCTTCGGGGTCTCCATCGTACCCTCTTTCGGGGACAACAAAAAATGATTCCAACACAGTACCATCCGTCCATAAATGACCCTCTCCGTCATCCCATCCCAAGCATATTATGTTGCCTCGGAGAGCTGCGATCTCATCTGAAGATCTATCATGTGGCGAAGTATAACTCCAATGTCATTCGATACATCCTCAACCCGCCGCGCGACTCTCAACGCATCTCGCCCATCTGCTCCTTCAGTCGGGCGTAATGATGGTCGACCTGTTGAGCCAATTCTGGACGCATCTCGCTCATCGACCCGTTATAAATACAGTCAGGCGGTTATACAGATCAGTAGACGGGGAAGAACGTGACCTGATCGGCGCCGGTGATGACCTGATAGGAGGCGATGATGCCCTCAACGACGGTGAGGCCCTTGGCAGAGGTGATCATCGATCTACTAGACTGGGCTTCTACACGAATGGGAACATTAAAAATTATTATTTTTAATGAAAATCGACTAACGCATACAAAACTGTAATAAAAAAAATTATATTCAATTCACGTACCTCATCTCGATCCTGGATGGAATCGTACACTCGGTCGTTGTCATCGTGCGGAGCGGCCAATTCATGCACATATCCACTGGCCACCTCCTCCATCGACGACATCAACTCCGTAACCACTTCAAGTTGGCATACCAACATTTTGACTAGTTAATGATCATGTCATCATATTTTTGAGCTACACACAACATAAATCGCGAATGTATTATCTCACCTGGGGGTCGTCAATGAGAGCTGATAACTTTTTTCTAGTTGGATATCCTTCTGCTAGGGGATGCTCGCCAATGATGCATCCGAGGGCAGCGTGAGTCTCTTCGGCTCGCATATCGGGTCACGCCCCCTGATCGCGTCCATCAGATTCGATAGCAGCACAGTCCCCTGTCCCTCAAAGTAAGTGTTGTGCAGCCTGCTACATCATCACCTGTGGTCTCCAACCCAATGATCAGGGAAAACTCGAACATGGAGAAATGGCGACCTTGCCCCCGAGGTCGAAGTGGAGGGCATCGCCGTCGACTGGACTCAGCAATTGATACATAAGGGCAATGAGGATCTGCCCCGAGAACTGTACATCTCTCAACTCGTACGGGGGCCAAAGAAATGATCATCGAAGCATATCTGCATGCTGCTAATCCAGCAAGCTCCAACACAACAGTGTAACTGCCACGCTACCGTTCCAAGTAGCTTTACCCGACATTTGTCTCAATGTCATGTCCAAGTGATACTCCAGGCTATAATTTTTTTTTTTAATATTAGCACATTGAACATAATATAATGGAATACAACATAATCTCAGAAAACTAAGTGAATCGAATTGTAAGAACTAAACGGAAAAAATTAGTACATTCGAAAATGAAAGATTAGTTTACAAATTCTATTTAATTAAAGAATTTTAAATTAATTCAAATATTAAAAGGAAAAAAAAGAATTTGTTAAAACGTTAAAAAATAATATTTCATTTTCGTAATTACATATTTAATTATTTTATAATTATATTATTTAATTTCATTCGAAAATGAAAGATTAGTTTAGAACAAATATTTAGGCACCGTTTGGTAGCCATTATTCTAGAAAAAAATGTATTCTTTGTGTCAAATCACACCTTTTTTGTGGTTGAAAATGAAGGAAAAGTTATTGATGTGATGGAAAATATTATTTTATTGATGAATGTGTGGTTGAAAATTAGTAGAAGAATGAAAATGAAAAAAAGAATGGATACCAAACAGAGGCTTAATTAAATAACTTTAAATTATTAAAAAATTTAAGAAAAAAAATAAGAATTTGCTAATTTGTTAAAATATAATATTTAATATTGGTAATTATCGAATTAAAATGATTTATTTAATTATATAAATTTTATTCAATTGCGTAAAATATTTAATTATATAAATATTTATTTAATATTAAATTTATTAAATTATTAATAAAATTTAAAAGATTAAAATAAGAATGTGCTAATTTGTTAAAATATAATATTTAATATTGGTAATTATCAAATTAAAATTATTTATTTAATTATATAAATAATATTCAATTACGTAAAATATTTAATTATATAAATATTATTCAATTGCGTAAAATATTTAAATATATAAATTTATTTAATATTCGATTTATTAAAATTTTAATAAAATTTAAAATTAAAAAATAAGAATTTGCTAATTTGTTAAAATATAATATTTAATATTGGTAATTATCAAATTAAAATTATTTACTTAATTATATAAATTTTATTCCATTACGTAAAATATTTATTTAATATTCAATTTATTAAATTATTAATAAGATTTAAAAGAAAAAAATAAAACTTTTCTAATTTGTTAAAATATAATATTTAATATTGGTAATTATCAAATTAAAACTATTTATTTAATTAAATAAATTTTATTTAATTACGAGAAATATTTAACTATATAAATATTTATTTAATTTTTGATTTATTAAATTATTTAAAAAAATTAAAAAAAGAGTTGGGGCCGGCTGCAAATGACGGTCAACCCAATGCCGGCTTTAAAAACCCGGTTGTTAACATCCGATTTTCTTGGGTGAAATCGGCTGTGAACAGCTGGTCCAAACCTCCCTAACCACTATTTGCATGACCGATTGTCTGGCAACCGATTTTGTTGTCGAAAATTGCTAGAAATCACCATTTTCGGCAATAAAAAGCTCAAAATGAGCTATTAACACATTCAAATACCAAAATTTCACCCATATCACCAACAATC